GGTACACATTATTTATAAAAGGAGTTATTAACCTGTCCAGTTGCAATCCCCACACAAAGACGCCTTGGCCAGACCTTCATCACAGTTCTATGTATAGCTAGGAAACCTAGCCCAACATTTTTGAGATTTTAACAGCTCTTTCATTGTCTTTAAGCCAGGGCTGTATTTAGCAAAAAAACACATTGTAATACACCATAGTAGGCCCAAATACAAACAAGTACAGCCTTTCTATTGTCATCATTATGCACTTTAGGAAATAAAGAAGAATGCCATTGTGTAGAAATGTCAAAACCCCTTTAACACTATTATTGCAAAGATGACACCCTTGTGATACTTGGAGCTGTTTAAGATTTACATTTAAAATCGTGTGTTCATTTAAACACTGGATTGGAATATGAAAGCAGGCACAAAACACTGGGGGCACTGCAGTATAAATCCATAGCATAGCAGAGATCCCCAAAATAACCTATTGGAGAGTAATATACACCAGGATAGGGTCCTCAGGACAGCATCTCTTTACCTCTAGTGACACGCCTGCCCTTACCATACAGGTTATGTAGGAAGGTAAAAAAAGTCCCAATTGGTAATGGGAGACAAATGTAATATGGTGTACTGCTGTTAAACAAAAACATTGCAAGAGTAGTTCTAAAAACTAGGTCAAGAAAAATCTGGCTTTTACACCTAAGAGCAGTTTGAGAATTGTATAACAATATTTATTATTTCACTTGCATGCATAATACCTAGGACCAACAACATCATACCTATCCCCTTTCAGCCCCGAAACTCTATGATTTGAAGTCAAGCTCCAAGATCATCCACTTTTGAAAGCAATTTTTGGTCATACAAGTTCTTACTACAACAATTCATGTTCAATACATTCCAATGTATGGTGGCCTTTGATTTTACATATGTAATGCATACATGTAGAATGTGTGATTTTACATGCTCTAGACAATAAGGAAATCACAGAAAACTAAATTCCCGTATTGCTGGAGTTAGAACATGATTCAGATTAGATATTTAGCCAAAGTGGCAACAATGCTTTAAATTAAAAGGGAAAAATTACTGCAATCATACCCAAACACAATGATGCAATTTTACACTTTAATGAGTTTTGAATGAGCAATTACAGAGCAATCTAGTAGTTTTGTTTCATTAAATGGTAAAAGCCTTCATTAAGAAAAAAAAAACATTCCTCTTAAATAAAATGTTTAGTTTTTTAATGTATTTACTTTTCCAGCTTGAATTCTAAAGTATCTCCTGGAACTATGCAAAGTTCTCATCTTGCTGGTTTCGAGGAAACAGATGGGACCCAGATGCACCCATTTGCTGTCTGGAAAAGTCATCTTCATTGAAAAATTGCCACCAAAAAGCCATACCTCCGACGTGGAAACAAGGCTAAGTGACTCAACTATGCATGAAAACATATGAACTGGGGTGCAGAAAAATGGCAGCAGGTACACTGGACTGATGAGTCAAAATTTGAAATAATTGGGTGTAGCAGGAAGCAGTTTGTTCGCCGAAGGGCCAGATAGCAGTACAAATAATGAGTGTCTGCAGCAACAGTAAGCATGGTGGAGGTTCCTCGCAAGTCTGGGGCTGCATTTCTGCCAATTGAGTTGGAGGTTTGGTCAGGATTAGGGATGTCCCGATGCCACTTTTTCAGGCCCAAGTACAAGTACTTCCCCTCATGTACTTGCCGATACCAATTACCGATACTTTTTCTTAAAGGGACAGGTGACTTTAAATGATCCATAGTACAACTACATGTTCTGTACTATGGATCATGATTTAACCTATTCATGTTAGCAGCGGAGAATTGTAACTCTATTGCTGGAGTGTGGTGGAGGTGTGTGCTGTATATATGTACTAAATATACATTACACACGTCCAGTACACTATAGCAATAGATTTACAGCCATAAAAAAGTAAGAAAAAAAAAACCAGAGCAAGCTTCGGCGCTAGGCATCGGGGCATTTTGACAAGTACAAGTACTTGTCAAAATGCCTTGTATCTGGCCAGATTCCAATGCTAGCATCGGTATCGGGACATCCCTAGTCAGGATACATGGTGTCCTCAATGCTGAGAAATACAAGCATATACTTATCCATCATGCCATACCATGGACCGCATACTCCAGATGTGGCCGAACCAGTTATCTATAAAGTGGCAAAATTATAGACTTGTCTCTGCAATAAATCCCCTTCTTAATACAGGACAGGACTCTACTTGCTTTGCTTACAGCAGCCTGGCAGTGCAAGCTATTCATCAATCTCTGGTCTACAATGACCCCCAAATCTTTTTCTATTTCTGACTTCCCTAGTGGCATACCCATAAATGTATAGCCCATTTGCTTATTTTTAATCCCAAAGTGAATTACATTTCTGTTATCGACATTAAACCTCATCTGCCATATATTTGCCCACTCCCCTATTTTATCCATGTCCTCCTGTAATGTTATACTGTCTAGGTCCATTTCTATTACCCTCCCAATTTTGGTATCATCAGCAAACAGTGAAACATTGCTATTCACTCCCTCCCCGATGTAGTTAATAAACAGGGTGAACAGCATGGATCCCAGCACAGAACCCTGAGCTCATGACACTAGCCCAGTCTGAAAAGGTGCCATTTACCAATACTCTCTGGACACGTTCCTGTAGCCAGTACTCTATCCACGTACACACCATTTCATCTATTCCCATGTATCTCAGCTTGTGTAGTAAGCGTTTATGTGGTACCGTATCAAAAGGCCTTGAGAAATCCAGATATACCACATCCACCGGCCTCCCTCCATCCAGATCTCTACTTACCCTCTCATAAAAAGTTAGCAAGTTAGTCTGGCAGGAACGGTCTTTCCTGAACCCGTGCTGATTGTCATTAACTATGCCATTATTCTGAACAAATTCTACCAAATAGTCCTTAATCATTCCCTCTAACAGTTTGCATACTATCGATGTAAGACTCACCGGTCTATAGGTCCCAGGTTGGCATCTTGCCCCCTTTTTGAATATTGGGACTACCGTAGCCCTCCGCCAGTCACTTGGAACTCTACCAGTCATTAAAAAGAGTCCTTAAAAATGAGGAATAATGGTCTTGTTATAACCTGGCTTAGTTCCTTAAGTACCTTGGGGTGCAGGTTATCTGGCCCCACTGCTTTATTTGCATTAAGTAGTTTTAGTCTTAGTTGTATCCCGGTTTTCGACAACCACTGAGGTATATTTTGTGTTGAACTCTGTGTTTTATCATTACATTAAACCTGTCCTTTTCCTGAGTGTATACTGAGGAGAAAAAAGTTGTATCGAAAGAACACCGGCTTCACTTCACGAGGCTGCCTGGCTTAGTGACCAATCAGGAAGCAGCGGGAAATGAGATGCTGCCCGACTTCCTGATTGGTCAGGAAGCCAGGCTGCGTAGCAACAACTGAAGCCGGCTTCCTAGCCAATCAGGAAGTCGGATCATAACCTGCTGACCGGCTTCCTAATTGGAAAGGAAGCCAGCTCTTTGCTCCCACGGCACTGCCAGTCAGAGGGAGATCTCCCTCTGACCGGAAGTTCCAGTATCAAAGGTAAGTATCAGAGCATTTGGGCAAGTACGAGTACTCGCCCAAATACTCTGTATCGGTGCATCCCTACTTTTGGTGGTATAATCTTATGTATGGAAGGACAAAGAGGGATTGCCATTTGAAAGCTAACTAGCTATATTACTGAAGTCTCAAAAAAAACGAGTTCTACCTCACTTAAATTCAGTTGTGCTTTGTTGTATTCTACTTCAATAAATACATTTGCCGATGTATGTGGCCCTAGTACATTCACACCACTTCATAATCTGGAATTTCTGCTTCAAAAATCCAGATCATATTTGCCCAGAGAAAAGTCTATCTTATAGGCACCTTTAATCATCTACCACAAATGTTACTATCAAAAGCAAATGATAAAAAGCTGCAAGAATTTCTATACCATGAAGTATGTTGACAGGGGTATCACACAAGTATTTCAAGGCTTTTATATAGGTTAATGGATAAAAATCTTGTTTTCCTGATGGAACTGAAGGAGCTTCTTGCTAGGTTAGCATAAACAAAACTATACAACATGAGTTCAGTCATCTGAATGCCATAGCACAGTATTTTATTCACCAGCACAGCAATTGTTATTTTTTTCCCCCCACCACTGCACACACAGCTTTCTAGGGATCCTAGAAGCAGCAAAGCAACTTCTCTGTAGACACTGGCTGAAGAAGTGCGGTTTACAGCTTATGTACTGTGGAAGGAAGAGGCTATACTCCGCTTCCCTAACACAATCATTTTTACACCACAGAAGGCAGGTTCCATCTGATCAGAAGAGGTCATGGAAGTGAAAGTCTCTTGTTTCAGTTGAGTTCTGATACTGAAAAACAAAAAAAACTGTATATAAAAATGGGCATTTTCTTAATAAATCCTCCATTATTTTAGAATTAACCAAACCTCCAGGTTTTCATAAAAAGGTATTCCATCAGAACAAAAATGCAAAGAATACCCCTGTGGCTAGCTGTTTTACAGCTTGTGGTTAACACTGCTGAGGCTGCTAAAGGGCAGAGTGAGGTCAGGTATGTGGAATGAGTATTCTAGACCTCACACATCATCTATGCAACTTCAGAAGCCAAGAACTGTAAAATATAATGTGTCATTGCTGGACACACTCCAATGCAGCAGCAACCTCACCGTCCAGAAATCATACAAATACTAGGTAGAGCATTTTTAATTTAATGAAAAATAAATTAATAAAAAATGTTAGAGTAAAATATATATTTATTATGCATGGCTAAGGAAAAAAAAAAACTGTAAAATTTACATAATAATGAAATCACTCAATATTAACCGTGGCCTGTACACACTATTTACAGAGTGTTATGAACCAAGGAAAACCAACTGGCAATAAGTGAGTATTTTCAACGCCTTAGTATGTAGAATTTGTGAGGCTGTCAGGACTGAAGCCCGATGATGTAAAATACCTAGTACAGCATATAGAGCAGCTAGGGACTGCAAAAAGAACAGAGAGTTTGAAGTATAAAAGTTCATGTGTTTTCTTGATCTAGTGATCGCACTCTGGATCTAGTGGGAGCTCCATTCCATCCATTCTAACTTTCACTTGATTAACCATAAAAACACCATGGTAAGCAGTCACTCACACGGATGGATTAGACTGACCTAATCATCAGAGTCCTCTTCTTGTTGATTCTGTTTCTGTGTGGGTTAGAACACATTTGATTAAAATCATAGACATTCCAACTTTAGTAAACAAATATTTACAATATATCTAAATGTAGCCTTTCATTTTCCCTGAAGCAACTGCTCTCGTGCCCTAGGGTCTAAAGAAAGACTTTAACACTGGCATACAACAAAAGCTGAGGCTTAAAGATAACAACCACTGGCGCCAACTGGAACCGTCCTTGTGGAAAGAGGGAGAACTCCAGAGACACGGAGCATGTGATACCACTGTTAGAGATATGGGTAAAACACAAGTATTAGTGCAAATGTTAGATACTGAATGGTGATGGTGGTGTGGATGCATTAAATGTTAATAAGAGCTTCAATTCTTGTTACCAATCTTGTTAGTGAGTTTACAGGTAGTACCTTTCATTGTACAACCATATGGGCTAGTTCGCCCAGAGAATTCATATGCAGGAAGGAAATTTCCTAAAATCTAAGGGGAAGGTCAACTTGGCATATATGTGGGATACTATAAAGCAGGGCTCAAAATTTCAAGTCTTAAGTTACTAGCCAGGCCTTAATAGTTACTCGCCACAAGTTGTCCCACTAACCCCTATCCTGCCCCATGTAACCCACTAACCCCTACCCTGCGGTGTGATGCACAGTACAGAGACCTGCGGTGTGATGTACATTACAGAGACCTGCGGTGTGATGCACAGTACAGAGACCCAGTGGCGTAACCAGAGTAACCAGCGCCCGGGGCAGGACAAACTTTTGCACCCCCCCGTGAAATGTGAACAGGTACAATGATAGCATGTTGGGACATGTCGTAATTGAACTACAAGTTCCAGCATGCCCTCATTGTCCCTGTATGCCCGTCAAATATGACCCAGGGAATAGTAACGAGCTGATTGGCAGGCTCCTGTCCTCCTTCTATGCAGTGGAGCCCAGGTCCCTGTAGGGAAGGAGCCTGCCAATCAACTGGTTATCAAGGCAAGTGGACCGTGATTTTTTTTTACTTTTTAATCACATTTTAATTTAATAATTTTTTTCTTATTCTTTACTTATTTTTTAAAATTTTATTTATTTAATTATTTTTTTAACAATTTTTTTTTCCACTTAACTATCGCTATCACACAGGAGCTAACAAGCCGCTGTGTGATAGCATTTGGAGGTGACAGGTTCTCTTTATGGAACAGCACTGGATTAAGTGCACTGTGCTAGAACTTCTGTGACAGGTGAGGGGGGAAGACTGCTCTCCCCTCTCACTGGTTATCACGACTCGCCACTGTAGAAGCGGCAGCAGTTCCCCCCTTGAATTTCCACTTGCCCCCACGCAAATTGTCCCTTGCCATTTGCGAGGGGACGATTGGAAATTTTGAGCCCTGCTATAAAGTATTGATGTTTTTTTAGGAAGGAATCCTGTATATACATTTACATAGAGATACTCAGGTAATTGCTGCATTATTTGTAAATATTGTAAAATGGAGACCTTTTCTTGGAGTCCATTGAGGGACACAGGAAGTCATATACTTTCGGGTTTTACTGTCGCCTACATGACGATTGCACACAATGGCAATCAAAACCTAATGCCAAAGACCATGAAATGGTTTCCAATCAGAGAGGAATGACCTAAAATGGACTAAAGTTACTGAACCATAGACCAAGCAGGAAGCTGGACAACCTGAACCCAAGAAGGGGGTGGGTTAATAAATTTCCCTTTTAGGGAAACCAATAACCATGGTTAACAAGAACCAGATAAGGGACCGGAGGAAAATTCCTTGTAAGGAAGGACCAGCTGGACTGGTAGAAAGGCCTTACACTTATTTTTCAGGCATTAATTTTTTTAGGGTCAGTGTAACTGGGGGCACATCCTTTGCCACCATACTGTGTGCTAAACGGGGTCTCTTGTTTGCATCTGCTTTGTCTACAAGAAGATGTCTAGTATGGTGGATTAAAGCAAAATAGCTTTTGACTCTGCCTGAAAGACATCATGTCACCTGACTTCTACATGGTCTTCTCCTGCTGGTCTCATGAAGGGAGTGCGGATATGCGGGTAGGAAGGGATGGTAACTTGCTTATGTAATAGCAAGTAGGGGAAGCTAAAGTTGGCTTTACAATTGTAGTATTTTCTAGTTTAGTCCTGCTTAACAGCATGAATGAGGGAATCTCCCCTGCCGAGCTATTGTGTTTGGGCACCTGGCGTTTGCAGCTAGCAGATTAATTAACAGTGACTGCAGCTGATTGGCTGCAATCAGCGTTTAACTGACAATTTTCAGCCCAGCTACTTTGACAAAAGTTAACTTTTGTTGAACAGGGTGGTGCTGACGGGGCCACCGACAGCTCATATCGAGCAGTGTAAGACCAGCTTAGGTGTGTTGCTGCTAGCACAGCAACCAACTGTAAAGGCTTCTAGTTGGCTCTCAGCTGAAAATACAATAAAAAAAAAAAAAAAAACAGTACAATTTTGGAAAAAACAAGCCAATTGAATCCACTGTACATGGCTATTCTTGCTCTGTCCAATAGTTGAGCACAGGTAGAGTTAAAGAGAAGCTGCAACATAAATAAGTCACTAGCATTCGGAAAGGGGAAAGAAAGGACATCTCCACATTAAACACTGCTGCCTTTGAGGGACTCGGCTATTCATAAATCACTGACATGAGAGCCATTTATTTTTACAATGACCTCATAAACGTAACGGGGCTAGCAATATAAGTGTCCATGAGGCCTCTACTCATATGAAGTGAGACACTAGGCACAAATGTGCAGAGGAAATAGTCATATTATGGAATTTGTTTTTATTGAGTGGCTAGTTATGCATAAGGTATAAATCTTGCTCACATGGCTGCCTTTATATTTAGTCTCTACAACATCGGTTTTATGCACTGAGCCCAGTTTTTTTTTTACTGGCCTTCAAATAGTTACAATATCTATTAGATAACTATCAGCCATGTTTAGGTATGTGTTATAGTACACAATTGCTCACAGTAGTAAATGTTTGTTCACTATACCTCACCGTTTATGCTATTTACATTTTATTATTCCACTCTATGGGGCCAGCTTATTTATTATATACATAATGCTATATTAGACCATTTCACTCCTCTAGGGGAACTGTTGTTTGCATGAACCACATAGATGTAAACCAAACTGGTGATATATACATTTATATACATATAATGTCACTGAAATATTAGACATTAAAATACATAATGAAAAAATGTAAACCATACCAATGATCTCTAATTTGCTCCCTTTAGCCTGTTATATATACCACCGTGGGTGTGTTATATCTGTTCAAGTGCAAAAAATACTTTTTGATCTTGTCAGAAATTTAGAAATGTCCAATAAGAGACTGTGTTAGCTATCTCAAGGAGCCTAATTATACCTCCTAGTTCTTATCTTCGGACTACAGATCAGTTAGTATTCATATCTTGGAAAATAGATTAGGGACAGGGTTTGAGTAGCTTAGCAAAAGACAACTAATGTGTGTTGTCATCCCACAACAGAAACTAAAGATTACTAGCCGAGTGCATTTCTGGCATATCAACAAGTACCTTTTTGTACTTGCAAGATCTTTAAAAGGGATAACACTTGGGTAAGCATGCATGAATTGCAAATATGTAATGCATTTGTTTGTTTTTCAATCTGCCATAGCTTTTAAACTCTGTAGAAATTAGAACATATCTGAAGCGTTAGTAATGTACAAATGTGACCTGAAGTGCAGTGATTGACATCTGATCTAGACATTATGGACTAAAATGGCAACCAACTACCCACTATATGTCAAATATGAATTAAAGCTTAAAAAGCATAGCTCACTGCTTCTATTGTGATTCATGTGGTCTGTAGGACTGGCCAGCGGATAAAGGTTTAGAATTTCAGATTTGGCTATATTTATGATCACATAGGTCTGGACATCCCAGAGACAGACAATTTGTAAATAAGGTAGACCAGGGTAAAAAATAAAATCAATAGCTATTTACTTGAATCGACTTGGTACATTTAGAAAGACCATTTGAAAAAGAAATCCCATAAAGTTTTGAATCCATTCCATGAAACACCCTGTGTGTTATGGACACAGGTTAATTCTGTACAAAAATAAAGCCTCCCTCAACCCCATCGCTGCCACCGACATAAGGCTTACGTGGGTGACAGCGGGCCCGTTTACAATTGCAAAGCCGCTGGGACTCTGTTTACAATTGTAAAGCCGGCTGTTGGCTTTACAACGGAAGCGATTCAGGCGGCTCAGCTGCCGTCATATTGCTTCCACGGGCTGGTAAAGTGCCCTGCCGACAACCCTGCCGTGTTTCCCCAGCTCTGCTGCCCCTACTGTGGGCCCGGGACCGGCATGTCAGGTGTCGGCGGAAAGCTGGGGAGGAGAGCGGCGAATTTCTGTTCACCGATCTCCTCCCAGTTCTATGGGTATTGCATAGTGTTAATTTGATGTGCCCCCCGCAGCTCTCACTAATTCCTGCCACTGACTACCAAGCCACTACTGGAAAGAAAAGGGATATGGTGGTCAGCGGGAAGCACCACAGAAATCTTTAAATCGACGACAGGGTTGAATTAAAGTTGAACTCCAAGCAAACATCTAACTACTCATTTGAAAAAGGTATGTGATCTGTTTTAGCCACCTAACCATGTTGTTATTCTGTCCAGTCAAATTTTTAATGCATACAGCTCTGACCAACAGAGGTGACATCACCTTCCTGTTCGCAGCTCTGACTGGACAATAAAGGAGCAGCAAAATAATGGCGAGTCATCGATCATTCTCTGCTCACATGCTCCTGAGCTGGCTTAGATCTAGTTCCAGTAGAAGACTAATATCAAGACAGAGTCTGGCACTCATGCTAGCTGTATGCAAGCATGTAAATTAATATAAAATAAAACAAACACTGCATTTAATGGTATCTTTTTAGATGTGCCTGGAATTCAGGTTTAAGCCTTTGTAAATAAATTTCTCTAACAAGTAAGTTTGTAATCACATCAGTCTAACCTAGCCTACCATCTTTCTCTTCAATTTGTAAATAAGCTCACATTTTAACAACAGTTATAGCTAGGCTATCACCGGTCTTTTTTCATGTCCACCATAAAACTAAAATAAGAAAACACAGTGTTGCAAAATAAGATCAATAAAAATCCACAGCAGTTACAAAATTAAAGAAATATGAGACAAGTACCATCATACTAGGGAAGTAACATGAACCCAAATAAATTACTCACCAGTTTAAGTAAATCAATAAGTTTGTGAGCATCCTCTCCTGTAGAAAGATCAACAAAATCCTTTGGCAAACGGTAACTCAAGTAAGGGCTGGGCTGCACTGTGACGTCACTGGTTGTATAGCGAAATGTAGGAGAATCCTAGAAAATATGCCTTTTATTTAATGCCATATTATTCTGTTCTGCTGCATTACCCTTAGTCATAATGCATCACGTCACCCGTTAATTAATAACAATTGTTATTTATAAAGTGACAGAGAGGAGAGGCAGTATATTCCAAATGTCTTGAACCTTTTGGCACATACATGTTATGGTGGACAAACTAGTGTATCTGCCTAATACATACACATCACACTTCACAGATTAACCATTGCATAGGACTTCCATAATTCAATGTTTTAAACATGTGCATCATGATCTAACACTCTAGTGATAGGTACACCTGTACATTTTCTACCTCTTCTCCATCTGTATTACAATAAACAGACTAAAGAATAACAGGTATCTCTTACACTCTGATAAAGGTGTTGCAACTGAGCCTATATCCAGATGTCCATTGGGAAGGATCCCCATTCCTCCCAAAAGTGGGCCAGGGGTTTCAATTTACCATCCATTGAGACTTTACCATAGCATGTCTCCCCATCGGCCCCCTATTTTACAAAGAATTATAGATCTGCACCAGGTCCAAACTACAAGAAACCCCCCAGTAGAGCCAAGGGGGAACATGATGGAGTAAAAGAGTATTTTCCATTTAGTCTATCTCACATCTGCATGTATTAGTTGTAAGGGGTGAGGAATCCGCTATACTGACAGGCTAACCAGAATCCATGAGCTAAATTTGATCCTGCCATGGACTTTTCCAGAGGGACCCACTGTTTCTCTCCTGTTCTGGTGTTCCTGTTAACCACGCATAGCATTGTCATTGCTTTATAGTAAAGCTGAAGATTCTCAATCCAAGACTTGTCTCAATCCTGCAAGACGCTCTGCATTACTTTTCTATAGAAACTTCTGCGCTCAATTACTCTAAAAAACTGGGTGTTCCTCCTTACAGCTGCTCACTTAAATTGACTGCATGAGCCTGTATTAATATCATTTAAATATGTGCAGCGGCGCTATCGCCTAACAAAGTAAACAAATGATATGTGCAAAAACCAAATAGAACAATCTTTAAAATTGGTTCAAAGAGTATACACAAGAACAGACCGAGTGGACAGAGTGACACACAAAGACTAAGAATACATGTTTGTTTTTTCTGTTTTACTTCATACGTTAAGACTTGAGAGTTGTCTTTGCATGTAATGATTTCATGGACACTTTGTTTCTATTATGTGTTTAACACACTGACACAGGACGTTTGCTACTTTATTAGTCACTTTTGAGACTTTTTTTTCAAAGAAAATTACCTTTGATTCACACAAGCAGTTGATCAGAAGATTGAATTGGAATATTTAAATTTATAGAAGTATTGTTCACTGTTGTTATATTTGGTTATTGCAAATATTATGTTTACTTTGTTGGGTGATAGCGCTGCATCACATATTTGAATGTTCTGAATTACTTGCACAAGTGGCGAAAAATTAACCTTATTATAGGTAATGTAGGTCACTTGGAAACTTAATAACCAAATAAATGATGTCTTGCTGCTGCCAGAAGGGGAATACTGTTCTTATTGGGCTATATCACTGACTGACAGGTTAACTGGCAAGATTTCAGACTTCTTGAATTCTGGTGAATCATGAAATCCTCTACCCAAATCCCAGGTGTTGTAAAACATCATCTTGAAAGATCTAATCCATTTTTCAGCATCTGTTGATTGAATTAAGCAGGGAGGATTGTGGGTCCTTACCCAATGAATAACAGAGTGCCAGCTGAGAATTATCTCTAGCTTCTCTCTGCGGTATAAACCCCACTTGATCCCAATGGACTCTAGCGTTGTTAAGTATGGGTTTATCCTGTAAAGATTATAGCCAATATCTTCATGTTAATGCCCCAGAGAGTAAAGGCCCTGTAATATTGGGAGATGTTAACATGTTTCTCTTTTAAAATGCAGGCAACATTAGTTAATAAAGCCTTAGTAGGCAGCTTATCATCCGCATGAATAGAGTTAAAGTAAGCACAATAGTAACAGACACTCTAAAAATGTAAAATAATATACTCTAGTAAAGCCATTGGGGCTGGGGACCAGAAATGGGTTTTAAAGCACTTTGAAGGTATATGCGTTAGTTCTCGAGTATGTATAGCATTAATTCAAACCCCGGTAAAAGGGATACATGTTTCAAGGCACACTTACAGTTTTTAGCGCAAATGACAAAAATCCATCTTTTATATAATATATAGTGCCGTGTACAAAATGCCCTGTGTTTATTGATGTTTGTGTAGATGATGAAAAGGAAGCTACGCTATATTCATCTTAAAAGCCAGGTGAGCCACAAGCATAAATAGTAGAAGTGTAGAAGAGTAGTAGTGAAAAGGCTGTTAACAAGAAATTAAATTCTCAAGCTTTGTGACTGTCAACTATTTTAACAATCATGCGTTAATCTCACAGTCTGTATTTCATGGCTTTCCTTAATTATTGGCTGTGATAAAAGGTCTGAGCATTGACTGTGACATTAAAATTTTGCATTTAAGCCTGGAAACTGAATTGTAAAATGTGACTTGGCAATACAATGTGTTGCTTATCAGAAACTATCGTTATAATAGGAACTGGATGTTTTTACCAAATTAAATATATATATAGGCATGCAAAATCGCTGGTTATACTGCTATATTTTAACACAATGCCGGTTTATTTTCTGGTATTTGTGACCTTACGTCTTCTAGTCTATGTGAAGCTTCAGCGGTTTTTATTAGGGATGCACTGATACTTTTTGAGTACCAATGCCGGCATTTTCATGAGAACCACCAGGGTTGCAGCTGGGACCTGGCTCTGGCGCTTCACCACTGTCCTGAAATCATTAGTCGATATTGTTTTAGAAAACATGACAATAAACAAAAAATTGTATCAGTACTTGTATCTGAGTACTTGGGCAAGTACCAGTACATGTACTCGCAAAACTGGTATCGGTGCACCCCTTTATTTATATTTATAAAAACAAAATCATACATTAAAACAGATATGTACAAATCCCAAGAGCTCCGTATGCTCCCTACAAATGACAGCTGCCCCCTAACTTTTGAATTTTTCTCTAGTCTAGTCTTGGAGCTCAAAAAGTATCTGTACTTGTACCGAGTACTGCACTTGGTATCGGTGCATCCCTAGTTTTCATCATCTGCCAGTATGGCCTGAGTATTTAGAAAGGCCATAATGACTAATATTTGAAAGAGTCCTAAGGGCAAACACTGCTAAAAGTTCTTGATAATGTGTATATTAATTATTATTTACACAGTATAATTAAATGCCGATATTTAAAATACCTTAAACAAGGTTCTCAGAAAAAAGAATAAGGGATGTGGATGGAAGTGGGTGCAGGAGAAGTGGTTAGTTTCAACCCCCTAATAGGATAGAGTTGGAGGGACACAGGGTATACCTGGGGAATGTCCGCTCTTGCTCGTTTTACTATGTTGAGTAATTTTATGTTTAGATTAGGTATGAGAGTTAAGTGTGTATGGTTTGCTAGGAAGTATGTGGTGTGGACTTAAACAGACTGACAAAACAGCAGCAGCAAGCCTGGAAACTATTAGGAAACAGCTGTTTAACATGAACCTTTGCACACAACAAAGGTTGTCAACAGCAACATTCATGTGAAACAAGTACCTCTGCATTTTAGTGCATACCTCTGAATGCCTTCTCAAGCAATACCTGAATCTAGGAGTGCTCTGACATGGAAATATTGATTTAATTTTTGTTATTACGACCATCTGTAATGCTTAACGACTTGAGTACAAGCCTGTATACAGTGGGGCAAAAAAGTATTTAGTCAGCCACCAATTGTGCAAGTTCTCCCACTTAAAAAGATGAGAGGCCTGTAATTGGCATCATAGGTAGACCTCAACTATGAGAGACAAAATGAGAAAACAAATCCAGACAAATCACATTGGCTGATTTGGAACGAATTTATTTGCAAATTATGGTGGAAAATAAGTATTTGGTCATTCATCACCAGGCCATTTTACAGTTTTCAGTGTTGTGAACGTTTGACTAACAATTACTTGGTCATGCAACACTGTACCCATATTAATTTGAAATAGTTTTTTAAAGATCTTTCTTTTGGTGGTATTTTTTTTAAATACTGGGTTTTTAATTTTTAAAAATTGGGTTTGCTTACATTTACCTTTCATTTCTGTCAATCAACAATCCCACATTTACCGGTGGTCAATGGCACTTTTACGTCCTCCTCAATCATCTTTTAAAAAAAATCCCACACTCACTGGAGGTTAGTGACACTTAGGTCCCGTTTAGATGTAGCGACTTATCGCGCGATTTCCGCCGCGATATCGCGAGAAGTCGCCGGCTAATGATAGTCAATGGAGTTGTCTTAGCTCCATGTTGCGGTCGCTTCTACAGGACCCTTTTTTCGGCAGATTTTGCTTTTTTCTATGGAGCCCGACGGAGAAGGTTGCGCTACCGTCGCTGGATCGTCGCCCCGAAAGTGGCGCTATCGCGGCCGCTGCAAAGGTAAGTCGCTACATGTGAATGGGGCCTTAGAC